AAGTGTAGGCGGCAACCTATTGGAGCCAAATTAATGAGTGATGGTTCATGGGGCTCTCCGTACAAACACTGCTTCTCGCAACCACCGCTGCCACCATCCCCCCCCCATAAAAACAATCCCTGTTGACCCCTGACCTTCCCCCACCGGGAACGGAGCGAGGACGGCCAAACTGCGAGGGCGAGGGAAGCCAGGCAGATTGCGGGAAAGGCGAGTCATCCCCGGGGAAGGGGGGGGGGGCAGCACGGAGGTCGCCCGGTCTCTTCGTTTTCCTTCTCGCACTCGGCACGACCGTCGTTACGTAAAAATCGGAGCTGCGTCCTGCCCGCACGGTGAAAATACAGCGGCTCAAACAGGGCGGCCACAGGTCACCTGTTGCTACGCGCGCTCGGCTCGCTACCCTCCATGGTGCCGAAGGCGAGTTTATCGTCCGTCAGCCGCAGGAGCGGTGGCGCAGAAGTTAGCGCACCGCACTGTAAGCCTGGCTATCGACGATGGCTGCTATCATCAGCGGCGAGCGGGACCAGCAACCGGTCCTGGGACAACCCCCTCAACTTGAAATGACTAGCGTGGTGAAGTAGGGTGTGAAGTGGGTTGCCAATTTATGAACGTTTTACATGGACCGCCGCATCCGTGTGACTCCACCAAAGGCACCGTGGAGACAAGGGCTTCACCGAGCGAGTTCAACAACAGTGTACCTGCGGCACAAGCGCATGGGCACCGCCCAGCGTCGCGACTTGCTCTTCCGACAGCCGTGGTTGCCTTCAGCGGCCTCTCTCTCTCTTTCCGTGCCTCGTCCGCTCCGTCGTTAAAAAAACAGAAACGGGAGCCAGGGCTACCAGGACCAGCCGCTGGTAACGGAAGCGAATATATCATTCACCCCCACAGCACACGGGCAGGATTGCAAAACCCACTGTGGGTGGGGGGAATCTGTAAATGAAGCTTCATCCTCTTCCCCTCTCCCAACCCCCATCTCTCTCTCGCTTTCCCCAAACCAGCCGGGCCGCGTGTCTCGCACCACACGTCTTAGCCGTGCTGCTGGGCTTGCTCATGCGGCCCGCATCCACCTCCTCGCAGGGTCTACGCGCTTCCATGGGCAGCAGCCAAAAGGCGAACTTGCCAGACCCAGACAGACCCCAGGGTGACACTGGCCAACCAGGTGACCACCACACCAGGTGGGCCCCTGGCCGAGAGACCCAACTACCGAGGCCACCCCCTCCTCTTTGGTCTCTTCCGTTTTTTATGGGCCCTGGATGCGGGTTTTCAGAGCCAAATGATTCATTTGATTTGAAAAAAACACGCAACCTTCAAAAACAACAAAACTCTCTCACGCCAGCCCCGAGTTATATTTAGCTGGCGCCCCCGCACGCGTGAGCATGCGAGTGCATGCGAGCGGGCGGGAGGCAGAGAAGAGCGGAGACGGGCGGCGAATCCTGCGACTTCATCGTTATCGTCCTCCTTTAATTACTCCTCCCACCCTCACCCGTAGCACCCAACCCCCATCGACCCCACCCCTCACCCCTACCCTCCCACCTCCACCATCACACGCACGATCACCCCCATCTTCGCTCCCACCCTCGCCATCACACCAACCCATCACCCTCACCCCACCCTCACCCTACCACGAGGGAGAAGCAAGGGAAATGGCGGCGCCCCCCGCTGCCCCCCACCACGGCCTCCGCTCTCACCCCCAGAGCGCCGCTGCCACGGCGAGGTGTCACAAGAAGGTTTTATCTGCGCGCACAACGCAGAATCATCGGCAGATCGGAATCTGCCAACCAGACGATTGCACTCATTCCTGCGAGCAGTTAAACGTCATGAGAGGAGAGGGCTGGGGGGGCGAGTGGTGGGTGGGGAGCGAGGCGGGGCCGGCGAGCCGTGGGGCATCGTTTCCATTCAATAGAGCGGCCGCTGCCTCCACGACCCCCCAACCTCCACTGCCCCCCCCCCGCACCCTCCCTCGCAGTGCCCCGGCGGTTGATGCCAGCGTGGGGCTGCAGCAGCATTCCCATGTGAACCTCGAGTGGAACATTTCCTCACCCCCACTAGACGCTTTGAAAAGATATACAGATTTTAAAAAACACAGTTGTACACAAACACGGGCACGTGTACGCACACGCACAGAGCGAGAGGGGTGGGAGATGACGTGCAGAAGAAGGCACGTACCCCGGAGCCACTCGCGTCGCTGCAGGTGAACATGGGCCCCACTAAAGATCACCCCAGATTCACGATTGGCGCCCCCCGCCCCACACAAACTCTTGATCCTCAGTCGAGAGCCTTGCGGATGGAGAGCTGGAGATGAACCCCAACACTGGAACATGCGCCGGGGCCTTCGCGTGACCACGTGCGGCTACGCGTCGCCGCTGACATGAGCGGCTCCCTTTCAGCGGCCACGCAGCGGGAGCGCCATCGGCGAAGCAAAGCAGGCCGGGTGGCTCAGAGGCCGGCACCGCAGAAACTCTGGGTTTGAATCCGGGTTTCGGCTGCCCAACTGCGATAAAACCGGGTCTTCAAGCGCAGAGAGTTGACGGCTTCAGTCTGGTCACCAATGACTGCCCAAAAAGTCTCCCTCACGTTACATTTGGTTCTGTGCTTAATTTGGCCGATTTAAAGCCCTCAGAATTAAAATGGCGTTTGGCCGTCATGCGATGAGCGCACGGCTCCGTCTGTGCTGACGAATCGCAAGTCACCCACAGGATCGCCGAGACGCTCCAGCGCGGGGAGGGCAACCGCTTCTTCCACGGCAGGAGAGAAGGTCAAAGGGTAGAAGGGTGAAGGTTAAAGGGCAAAGAAGGGGTACTGCACAAGTGACTTTACTCTGGTCTATATTTGGACGTGCGGAACCTTTTAAAAAAGAATGCCATCAGCTGTTTATCCAATGTTTCCATAACCCGCGTTTCAAAACTTCAAGTGGCTTTGGTCAATGTTTAGGATCTACCCACCTCGACCGGCTGTCGATGCAGATGAGTTACGGTACAGACTCAACGGCACCGGTCTGGCACCCTAAAATAAGAATTGATTGACGCGTCTCGCCGGTGGGGCGTGAAGCAACCGACAGTTTAAAAACGGCGTGACGGAACGCGCACCTTCGCGGCGCTGGAAAGCGTTTGCTCGCTGCGATCGTCGTGCAGGGGTGGCCAAACTTCCTGACTCCACGAGTCACAAAATCAAAATCTTAGCATGGCCCAGAGCCGAAAGAAACGCGCGGTCACGTGGGGCGGTCACGTGGGGCGGTCACGTGGGGCGGTCACGTGGGGCGGTCACGTGGGGCGGTCACGTTTGGGCTGTCACGTCGGGCTGTCACGTGGGGCGGTCACGTGGGGCGGTCACGTGGGGCGGTCACGTGGGGCGGTCACGTGGGGCGGTCACGTGGGGCGGTCACGTGGGGCGGTCACGTGGGGCGGTCACGTTTGGGTGGTCACGTGGGGCTGTCATGTCGGGCTGTCCGCTAACGCGGGTTGGGTGTGGAATTGTAAATTTATAAATCTGTGGGAGCGCCTCTTGAGTATTCATTTGTGGCTCCACTGTCAGGTGCGAATGATGCGAGCGCCTCCCGCTTATGCAGATTTTTCCTATTTCACATCAAGCAGGTCGCACTTGAACTGTCCGGCAGCCACATGTGGCTCGTGGCATGGCTGCTCCTGGTATACAGTGTCTGATTCTGCAACCCTCAAGTTTCTGATGAGGCAATGCAGTAACAACAACTCTCCACAATCTGATGAACAGTCACAATTCTGGGTAATGAATAGATTCAATAATGATCTTGTACTCTTATTATTGTTGTTCCCCGCGTGGTGCGTGCCGAGTTTCTAGCCGCTGCAGGATTTTGCGTGAACCCACAAGGGACCCCCACGAGCCAATGGCACTCACATCGTGTGACAAACGGAAAATTGTACATTCTAACAAGAAAAAAACATAATCGGTGACGTTTCTGGCAATGACCCTTCTTCATAGCACCTGAATAGAGGCCAGAGTGAGGGGATAAGATTTGGCAGTATGGCGAGCCCTGTTGCAGTGAGGTCACTAAAACCAACTAATTTCCCAAAAGGGCTAATTTCCCAAAACCACCATGCTAGCACACTTCCGCACCACTTCATCACACTGCACCACCACCACACTCTTACCATTGCACTCCCACCACCATACCATAACAATACAGTACCACCGCGCCACCTCAACACGCCACCACATCACCGCAGCAGCACCGCACCATCGCTCCACACTAGCACCCCACCACCGCACCACCGTACCACCACACGGCAGCGGCATCACGCCTGGGGGTGACAGCTGCGGCGACCCCCGTGTGTGTTTGAGCAGCGACCTCACGGGGCCGGGCCCATCAATCAATCCCCGCGGTGAGCAAACAAAGCGGGCGGCGCGCAGCACCCAGGGTACAAACTTCACGCCCCCGCAGCGGCGGACACCTGGGCTGCAGGAGCACGCACGCAAGCACTCGCGCGCCAGGTGCTACGGGGTCAAAGCAAAGGGACAAGGTGAGGGCGCGGCCCTCCGACAGGTAGCCGCTAGCCGCAGGGAGAGGAGGAGGCCGGGACCCGGGCAGTGCAGGGAGTGGTCGTTGGTGTAACGACTCGTAGATTAACATTGATTTGTGCGCTCAAGATAAAAGCATCGAATTGTGAGCGTCACAATCAATTACGGTCCACGCCAACGGTCAATCAGGAGGCGATCGCCAAAGGGCTGACCCTATTTTTCACTCCGAGTGTCAATGGAAACGTAAACAGGGAGAGCGCACGCGAGGCTGAACACTGGGGAAGGCGAGAGCGAGAAGCGGAGGCCAAACCGTTGTTCACGTGGATTCTGCGTTGTGCGTTTCCTTTGTAGCCGGCTTTCCCTGGACCGTCCTCTCATTCTCGCCGTCCCCTCGCAGGTAAAACGATCGTTCCTCGCAGGCGCGGTTTCGACGCGAGTCTCGCGCCCGCGAGAATCGATTGCAACTGTTCGGCTCCTCCTCGTCCGATCCCGAGTCCTCCGGCGCTCGTTACCTGCGACGTCATCTTGAGGAAGTCCAGCGAGGGTCGGATCCACCGCACGTCGTCGTCTCGCCGCCGCTTGAGCCCCGACTTGCGTTCGTTGGAGACGCACGGCTGCGAGCGGCACCGGGGCAGCCTGCTGTGCCCGGTGCCGGCGGTGGTCACGTGTGTGGGCGCCGCCCGCCTGCCGGTCTCCGGCGTGCCGCCGGCGTGACCCCAAAGCAGCGCCCGGCCCGACTCCGTGATGCGCTCCTGCGAAAGAGATAGTCGGCGCCGCGCCTCCAGCAGGTGGAACGGGGGACCGGCGCCAGGACCGGCCTCTGCCGCCACCGCCGCCGCCTGCGATTCGGCAGCGGAACTGGAGCCGAGCGGGGCGGACGCCGGCGCCCAGAGACACTGGCCCCACGGGGTGCAGCTGCGCTCATCCATGTGGCCGCTCAGGCCCCAGCCGGCGCTGGCCGACGCGGGCCGCGGCACGGGCGACTCCGGAGGGGTCACCGGCGCCGGGAAGCAGGGGAAGCCGCCGGCGCCGCCGACGCTGCCCCAACCCTGAAACGGCGCCCCGCAGCCAACGCCGGACGCCTGCGAGACCGCGGTGGCGCGGCTGTTAGACGCCTTCGCCAGGCAGCAGCCGGAGCCCGCGTACGTCACCGTCGGCTTGAAGTAGGCCGAGCTGGCGCCGCAGCCCAGGAAGGGCCTCTGCACCATGCTGGCGGCGGCGCTGCCCTGGCTATTGCAGCGCTGTAGGGTGGCACTGCCCCCGCTGTGGCACCGTCGCTTGGTGACCGGCGTCCAGATCTTGGAGCCGGGCTTCCAGGGCGAGCGGCAGCGCGACAGCTCCTCGGGCACCGACAGGGAGCGGCAGTGGCGCTTGCTGGGCGGCGTCAGCGGGCTGCCGCCGCCGCCACCCCCCACCAGCGTCTCGTTGATGTTGAGCTCTCGGATGAGACCCGTGACAACGGCGGAGGAGGAGGTCGCGGCGGCGCCGTTGGGTCCAGCGCCGGCGTTGGCACCGTGCCGGGGAGACGAGTGGCGGCCGCCCCCGTTGGCCGCCGAGCCTGGGCCGGTGCCGGGCGCCGCTGTCATGGCCACGCTGGGCTTGGGCCGGATTTTGATGGGGCACGTCTGAGAGAACATGTTCCATATAGAGGTCTTCCCTTCTGCGGGGGAGAAGCGCACACACACACACGCGCGTGCATTGGTTACGGCGACGATGTCGCGCCCTGGTCGATTGCCGAACGCTTTTCAACGCGCGTTTTTGTCCTCCGAGTACCGCGTTATCGGAATGGAAGATGGTGGCCAGCCACGAGGGGAAACCATATCTGCGTCTAAGTTATTTTTTCTCTGGTTTGCGTCTCGAGTTTCGGATGGTTTGCAATCCGGAAAAACACCGTGGGCCTTACCTGGAAAAATAAAAAGAGTTGAGTGTGTTTAGTTTTAGTTTCAAGTCGCGAATGGTAACCCAACTTTGGTTCACAGGGGATCATCTTCACGAGCATGAAAGAATCCCCTACACTCCCCTACTCGACCAGAATGGTCACAAATGTTTTAAAGCTCGGTTGGGTGGCACTGAAAACTAAACCCGGCTGGCTGTGTCGAGCAGGTGGGGTGGCGACGCCGAGCAGAGCGAGTTGTACTCTGAACCCGACGACCCGAGTTCAATTCCCAGCCATGGTTAATAACAGCGGTGGAGAGCGATGTCTGAAACAGTCCAGGTCAACTACCGGTTCACCAACTGGCACTGGTGGTAAAGTATAGACAGTCAAACACCCATGACTGACACGGAAACGGGAAGGCCTTCATCCAGCAGTGGACTGACAATGGCCCATCAGTCAGTTACTGTACTGCAGTACCTTCGCAAAAGGTTTTCAACTTCTTATAGCTCCAAATATGGCAATTAAACATTAAAATAATGGAAAACGTCTATAAAACTACATCATTCTGATTGCGACAACAATTGCCAACACCGCTAAAGGAAACAACGATGGACTCCGAGTCCCCGATGGGCTTGAGAAAGCGAGCTCTGTGGTCTGGGGCTGTACACACAGGAAGCTCCACGTCCCTCGAACGGAGCCAATCATTTATTTTACTAACTACGGACATTTCGCACTGCAATTCCATTGCGAACATCTCATTCGGGAGGGCGTCCAGGGGTGCTCAATTTGCACGACGTGGCAAACGTGCCGAAACACTCTTTGGAGGTTAAGCAGCAGACAGGTCCGCGTGCGACGCTCATGTCGGTCACATGGTTTACCACGCCATCTTAAAAATGCGAGCCGCTTCTCGGCTGCTGCACACGTGCAGCGTGGGTGCAGCGTGGGGTGAAGCGTGGGTAAAGCATGGGTGAGGCACCAGCACGCGTGCAGTGTGCGTATCGCTCGGCTCCAGCTGAATGTTCAATAGGAGGGGGTGCAACTCGCTGGCTCGGAGCCCACGCCCACAGAGGGGAGCGACCGTGCACAGCAAGGACGCGCAGCACGCAGCAGGTGAAATGCCCCCGAAGCTTTCCCCGTGCTGGTAGAAACACCCCCAACCCCCGCCACCCACCCTCTCCCACACTCCGCTCGGTTGCTTCCCTTTCACCGGCGGTGGCGGGCGGTGCCGTCGCCAAGCCAGTTCTCGCGGTACGAGACACCCGCACCGAAATAAAAACGACTCTCAGCGTCGTCGCGGTGCTCACTGCCAACGCAGGGAGCGGTGCTGCTGGCGAGAGCACAGAGCCCGGCCCTTTTACGGTTCATCTAGTTCATTATTCGTTACGCAATTGCTGTTATGTCAAAGCGCCGGGTTGCAACCGTAGTTGGGCTATTTTTATGATGCTGAAAGTTCACCAGGGTAAACTGCCCTTTTCAAGTTAACGTGAACGTCGTCGCTTTAGCCACACCGGCCAAGCCGTGGGGTCAGCCCCCACGCTACATCTCGGCGACAGCGCAAGAGACGAGTGGGAGAAGCCCTGATAACAGGCGCTGGGGCGCCAGCAATGCAAACGCCGCGGCAAAGCAGCGCCCGCAGATTACATTTTTCTGCGAGGCGTTACCCAAACTGCCAACAAAAACAAACAAACGCCCGAGCGGGTCCATGCCTCCCCGCGCCTCTTTGCGGGGGGAGCCCGGTGAGCAGCCGCCTCCCATTGGCACCCCAAGGGTGCGGGACTGCGGCCCGGGCCAATCTGAGTCGGAGCACGGCCGGGAGAGGAGGAGAAAAGGCCTGGGCCCTCTCGCCAGCAGGAAGCGATGCACACAACGACGACGACGATAATGCGGGTCGAGGTTTCGGGTGCGGACACGTGCGTGGCCAACAACAGTGACGATTATCTAAATCGGTCCTGGGCCTCCCCTAGATCGACTCAGCCTCAAATGGGTACCTGGTGAGATGTGTAAACATCGCCAATGGGAAGACAAAGGAGACAGGGCGTGGTGCTGACCTCCCTCGTGTGCCGTGCCGGCCTTCATAGGTGCTCACTAACAGCACTTGCCCCGAAAGTCTGTTAAGGGTATACGGGGGAAATTTGTCTTTGTGCGAGCGTGTGCGTGCGTGTGTGAACCAGAGCAGCGGAGAAAGGAACGTGGCAGGAGTTACGAGTCTACTCACTGTTTTTTCCAGCAAAGTCATACAGGAACCACGCGGGGCCCCGGGTCAACTTCTGTGCGGGATACTGAGGCGCGCGGGGAGGGAGAAGACGCCGCATGGGAGGAGGGAGGAAGGGAGAACGGGAGAGAGAGAGAAACATTTTTAAAATTAAAACATAAAAACAGGCGGTGCCCCTCGCAGCCACCAGAACTTCCCCCTGCGTGCACGGGACAGCAACGGGGCACCACTTTCCGCAGGCCCAACATAAATAAAACAATCCTAAAAGAGCACGATTGTTACACAATAAAGGGATTTAGTGCAAAAGTAAGCAAAAGACTGTGCAGGGCTTTACAAATTAGGGTCGAAGAACGCTGATAGCGCCATTCCAACATCCGCCTTCCCGAACAAGAGGGAGCATTTCTAATGCCTTACATGACATTTTTAAGCTCGGCAAGATCAGGTGCTCGATTAGATATGCTCGCTGTACATTTTTACGAGCTATGTTAAATGTGGCATATATTGTTTATATACGAAGTTCCTGCAACGCAGTTGCACATAACCACTGCCCTCGATAGAATTTTAACTGCACAGGACCGGTTTGGACTGTGTGTGCGTGTGTGTGCGTGTGTGTGTGTGCGTGGCAACCGGGTGTGGGAGCAGCCCACACCACTCTCGCTTGTGTCAAGCGGCCCTTAACAGTTACAAACAGCACTTCACCCTACCTGGTTATGCTGTACATCTATGTGTGTGTGTATGCGTCTGCGAGTGTGCGTGCATGTGAGGATCTCCGTGTGGAGTGGTGGCACAATGATTCGCACACACAGCTTAGATTCCAGCAACCTGGGTTCGATTCCCGACCACAGATAACATCTGTAACAAGTCGTAGCTCAGTGGTCCTCCTCTTGGTCACTTCAGCCTTAAATGAGGCTGAAATGGTGCAGCGTGTAAACATCAACACCGGGGAGACAAAGGCGGCTGGGTTTTATGCCGGCCACACGATGTTGTTGTTTTCATGCCGGCCTTGATAGCTGCCCACCAACGGCACTAGTCCCAAGCCCCCAACTCAATGTTTGTGGCGCGCTTTGCGCGAGTGTCTACGTTCATCGTCACTGCTTCTCGGCGGGCTTGTTATACAATAACAGCGCCGGCGGGCGGAGGCTCCGTCGACACAAACAACATTGTGGCGCACGAGCGAGCGCCACCTTCTCTTCCCACTCGCCTCCGCGGGCCACAACTGCGTGCCCCGGGGTCACGAGCTGGAACCCAAGATGCTGCATGAAAGCCGAGACTCCCAGCGCTCCCAAGGACGGGCGCGAGCTCCGCACACCGCGGGAAAACCAGGCGGGCGGGCTCATTAGCGCCGGCGCAGGATGACGAGCAAACTCGCCCCCCTCGCCCTTCCCCCCCCCACCTCCGTGGGCGACGCTACCCTGCAGGGCCGAGTATGGCCACCGAGCGCGATGCACGCCGTACCGCGACGGGGCACACCGCCGCACGTCACTGGTAGCACGGTCGCCCGGCGGAGGGAGCACACGTATACACCGAGGAGTGCCGGGACGTGGCGCAAAGAGACTCCGGCGACGGACACGCGCGGTGTTGGATCTTCCCCGTGTCGCACGAGCGGTTTCTCGTCCCGTCGCAGCAGGCACGTCCCCACCAAGCTGCCGTCCATTCAATCGGCGGCGTGCACGTCGCACGGGGGTTACATGACCTCTCCTGTGCAGGTGTCTTACGGTTTTTTTTCTGCTAAAGCTCCACTCCGGTGCAGGGCGTAGCGCTAGGGGTGCATTTCGGCACGCGGCTCTTGTCTCAGCGGTGTCCGGACTTCCGGGGGGTTTGCATGAGTCAGAGAACGCAGTCGTCTCCACAGTGAGCAAACCCCTACCTGCCTCCCCAACCTCGAGGGGGATAAACAACACCGGGTCCACGAGGGACGACACTTCCCCGATGAAGAATAAAAAAAATAAGAAAAACAAAGAGTCCTTCCGGAAACACGGGACTTTCCACAAATGCTCCTGCAGTCCGATAACGTGCCTGGGAAGGAGAGAGAGAGAGAGACTCGCAAGGCCTCCAGAGGCCCAGGCTCGACAGCCAGCATTGTCAAACAGCTCCTCCTCGACGATTCAATTGGCGCGATCGCTGGCATGGGCCCACAGGCTGCGTGGCCTCTACCAGTGCAGGAAATAATGTGTTTCCTTCTTGGCTCCCACGCCGTTGTCGCTCCAGTCGGGCCTTGGGAAACGCCGACTCCCCATTCGTCGCCAGCTCCCCTCAAAGTTTACGTACGCAACCATCAGCCGTGGCAGCCAGGGGCGGCCCGGGCCAGTGAGGCACGAATCGGCACCACCGCTGAGCGTCACATGTTTCGGTTGCACGCTCACGTTGGCGCAGCGTTCTTCGCTATTTTTCAGAGGGAGGGGGGATTAACAGCAAGATGATGATGGGGATGTTTTCGCATTTGTGTACTTTGGGGGCTGCACGTCAAGGGGCCGCAATAAAGGCCACCAAGGGCCACCAGTGGCCCGCGGGCCTTGCAACGAAGAACGCAGTGTTTGCGCGAAGAGGACGGGTGGCTCGGACGGTTCATAATGGCCGTGTCGGGAGGCTGAGCCAGTACCGCCAAAATGCTGGATTTGAATCCACGTCCCGTCGCAGCACACACCTCGCCCACAGGAGAGTGCACATTGTGTGACATCACCACCTCGGCCGGCAAGACGAATATGTTTAGCGCTGGGTTTTTTTTTGTCAAGTTTTGGGGAGGAAAAAACGTTGATAGCAACGCGACTTTATGCTAACTTTCCATTGCCTCACCGTTACGAGAATTAGCCAAGGCTCCCCCCTCCCATTTACAGTTGGAAGGGAGTTAATGCAAACACTTTCAACCCAAGTTGGAAAGCGGTCACAACCACCAACCAGAAGCATGAGCACTTGCTCCATTGCGCAAGGTCGGCTCGCGAACCTCCCCGGGTGAACGAGGCTATTGCTCTCGGTTGGACCGTGGAGGAGGAAGGAGGGGGGGATGCGGCGCTTATTGCGCAGCCACCCGTCCCCCTTCACACAGACGCGATGATGATGATGATGGCAGACATCGTTCCCGGCTAAATTAGTCGTCCTCATCATCGGTGGGAGCACCACACCGAGGTTTCTCCTCCACAGTTCCCCGCACTGGAAGACCGCCTGTTCATTACTTCTCATTCACTGGGAAGCCTGGTCCCGCGGGGGGAAAAGAAAAACGGTTTCAATAACGTTTAATTAGTGCAGTCAATGTCCTCCTTTGCTGATTTTTTGGCTGCAACACAGCCACACAAAGTCTGACTCATGGGTTTTTAATCGCCGCGCAACGATGCATCGATTCAAATAAATGCTTTGGCTCACGACAAGCTCACCGCAACAAGTGCGTTTACATACCAGTTATTATCAATTTGTGTAACTGGCTTATGTGGGTCCTGCAGCCACCAGAGCCCCCCCCCCATTTGCCAGTCATACTAAAAATTTGAACAAAGTTTTGCTGGCCGACTGGTGCATGGGTGTCTGTGGATCTTGAGTCAATGTGCAGGAAGTGTTGGCTAAATACAAAAATCAAACTGTGCCAAGAATCACGAAAATTCTTTGAATCGTGCACTTTACTGATCCAATCTTCAGCAAGCGAACAATCCGAGTGTCAGCTGACACTCGGATTGTTCGTAAGCACGGCAACTGCTACTGAGCACTCAGATAATTAGCGAGCACTCTGACCATATGCGAGCAATACCGATTACTCGTGAGAAACTGCGATCAACGATGAGCAGACCGATGGTTATTGGGCCACTGGAATCTGTGAGTCCAGCTCGGGGCGATGCGACTGCGGCAAAGGGCGGCTGGAGCCGACGCAGGACAAAGGCCAGCGCCACTGCAAACACGCTCAACGAGCCACACCTGGCCAGGGGCGGCACGAGCCGGCGTGGCATCTGCTAAGCGGCGGCACAGGGGAGCGGGGCGAGCGTCCATTGTGAGCGGTCACCTGTTGCTGCAGGGCCCTGCAGGCGCCCCTGCAGCCCGAAGGGGTGCCGCGGTGGCGAGATGTTAACTCCCTCGCCTGGTACGCAGGAGGACGTGGGTTCGATCCCGACCCCGACGCCTGTATATTTGGAGTTTGTGTGTGTCTCTCTCTCTCTCTCCCTGGGTCGTGTGGATTTTTCTCTGGGTCCTCTGGTGTTTCCCTCTACGTTCAGAATCATGCGTTTAGAGTATTTGGCTGCTATACATTTCCACATGATAAGTCACTTCGTTGAGCTATCATTTGTGACCTCGTTACTTCTGAAAGAGAGCTATACAGCTCAGTTGGCCTTACCTGGTGAAATAAAAAGTTTTTTTTTTAAAACGATCGTGAATAAGCACCAGGACAAACTACTACCACTCACGAGACTCGCACAACGGATGAGGGAGCCAGTCCCATCCACTCCACGCTCTCTCTATAAGACACATGGGACAGATTAAATAGCTATCAATTAACATAACCACTCTAGAGGTTCCCAGTGTGAGTGGGAGGCTTGGGGGGCAGTGAGGGATACTGGGGGGCTCAGGAAACAGGGCAAAGACAAAGCGAACATCATTGTCATCAACACAGACACAAGCAGCAAGTGAAAAAGGGCCTTGGTGAACACATGGAGTCACTGGTAGGGCTACTACTAGTGGCTGCTTGGCCACCTGGTTCGAGTTTGTGCTTAGTTGGCGGACGCATATAGTTAGGGCTCGTGTCCTCTTGGGCAGTTGGTTTGTAGTCAGGGCTAGTGTTTGGTTAGCGGTGCTGATAGGGCTATAGTTTGGGTGGCTCGTGTGACTAGGGTCAGGGCTAGTGTTTGGTGAGCAGTGCTGATAGGGCTATAGTTTGGGTGGCTCGTGTGACTAGGGTGAGGGCTAGTGTTTGGTTAGCGGTGCTGATAGGGCTATAGTTTGGGTGGCTCGTGTGACAAGGGATGAGGGCTAGTGTTTGGTTAGTGGTGCTGATAGGGCTATAGTTTGGGTGGCTTGTGTGACTAGGGTCAGGGCGAGGGTTTGGTTAGTGGTGCTGATAGAGCTATAGTTTGGGTGGCTTGTGTGACTAGG